GGTCTTAATTGAATTGTACATTGTCGGACTCCTTTCAATAAATCAAATTTTACCTTTTCGAAACCAAATGATTGGTTGTGCAAAAGAAACATAAAGTGTTCTCAGGAGTCTAATATCTAAACACACAAATCATTTTCTAATCCAACCCAACATTCATCATAATCATAATTCAACATTTGGTTGGCTTTGCCTATGCTTTTTATTACATGATTTATTTATTTCAATTACTTGGTTACTCCAAGATCACTTTCAGATTCTGTTGTGTTTAACTTTTGTTCATTGATATAAAGTGGTGATTTTGTTATTCCAGCAAAAGTTCATGACCATACATTTTGAAATATTAAATTTCACAAGCCAGTCTTGATTCCATTTAAAAGCTAAATCAGGGTCTAATTGCAAAGAAGATGCACAAGAAAGCATTTCATTCAAAATTTTGGTGTCATATGCGTACTGCTTAGTTATGTTTTTAAGAGTTTCAGCCTAATTATTTATAAATAGTACAAACAAGAAAAACAAATTTGAAATGTCAACTTGTGACTTTGAAGGGTTTTGAAGAAAAGTTTCTAAAACTTTTTTTTTAGTTAATATTTTTTTACTCATTTTAATTCAATAACAGTGATAACCATTACTTATTTACCATTATGATCAAACAACAAATTAACTTCTATCTGCAAAAAATTGTTAAATAGAAAACTTATAAACTCTAGGTCTGTTTATTAGTTGTTTTTATTCATCTGAATTAAATATAATTATATATATATATATATATATATATATATATATATATATATATATATATATATATATATATATATATATATATATATATATATATATATATATATATATATATATATATATATATATATATATATATATATATATATATATATATATATATGATGATTTTAATTCATTCTCTCCGCTGAGCCATTGAGGCTTGTGGATTTATTTTTCTCTCCGGCGAGCCACTTTCAGTCGCTTTGTTTGTGTTTTTTTGCTGTAATCCCACTTTTAATATTACTTTTACTGATTCTATTTTTTTAGGTATTCAACTGTCACATTGTTATTTTTTATGTTTATGTTGATTCAAAGCATTTTTTTAATAAATATTAGCAAATTTTGGGTACTGTTTTTTTAACAAATGCTACTGAGAGAATGAGTTAACTATATTCTTTTATTTATTTTCAGTTTAACTTATTACAACTGTTATATGAAGTAATTAATATGTCTAGTATTCTGCAAGCTTTGTCCTGACTCATTCTGTTATGTTTGTGGTTACTATATTAGTCCAACACAAACTAAACATAAGATTGTCAGTGGTACTAAATTCTTTACTGCATATCATACTTTTTTTGATCACCTCTGGAAGGATGGCTGCATGGAATCGGAAAATCAATGCCATTTGCAATTCTGAGAATATGGAGAGAACTGACAAACCATCATGATGGCTGTTATTTCTGCATGGTTGACAATTCCATGGTTGACAAACCATCATGATGGCTGTTATTTCTGCATGGTTGTATAAAAAACCGAAAGATAGGCTGACTCCAAGTTATACCCTCTACTATTGTACCAGTCCACACAGTGATGAATTGCCTGTTCCTAACCCACCTCAATCCGTAGAAGCAGCTGCATATCATTCTGATATAGACACACAGGATGAACTTCGTGATGGCTGTGATTTCAGAGAACCAAATGATTCAACTCATTTCCCTAACCAACAAGAACTTGATGACTTAGTACAAGATTTAGGTCTCACTAAATCAAATGCAGAACTTTTGACATCACGTTTGAAAGAATGGAATTTATTAAATCCAAGCTGCAGAACTTTAAAATTTACCAAAAAAGAGATGAAACATTTGCATCTTTTTATGTAGTATCAGAACCACTGTGCTAATATCATGACGTTCGTGGTCTTTTCAATGACATTTGCAATGTTTACAATTCTGAAGAGTGGAGGTTATTTATTGACAGTTCAACAAAAAATCTAAATGCAGTTTTGCTCCATAACGGAATTTCCTTCGGTTCCAGTAGCTCATTCTGTTCATCTAAATCATTCTGTTCATCTAAAGGAAGACTACAAGAACTTGAAGTTGTTGCTTGAGAAAATCAACTACGATAGTTACAAGTGGGATGTATGTGGAGACTTTAAGATGCTAGCGTTTCTTCTCGTTCTACAAGGAGAATACACTAAGTACTCATGTTTTCTTTATTTATGGGATAACAGGGTTGTGGACCAGCACTTCATGAGACGTGACTGGCCAGTGAGAGAACATTTACAGCCTGGTTCACAGAATGTTATTAATCAATCTCTGATACCTGTTGAAAAGATCTTACTACCACCCCTTCGCATTAAACTAGGTCTTGTCAAACAATTTCTCAAAGCATTAAACCTATCTAGTGCAGCATTCAAGCATATTCGGTAGATGTTGCTAAAGGTGTCAGATGCAAATATTTTAGTAGGTGTATTTGTTGGTCTGCAGATTAAAGTTATGTTGGCATGTAAGGAGCTGGAGTACAAAATGTTTGCTGTTGAAAAAGAAGCATGGATTTTGTTTAGACATAATGTTCATAGTTTTTTGGCAACAATAAGAGTGATAACTACAAAGACCTAGTGGAAAACTTAATTGTACGGTACGCAGATGTGAAATGCAGAATGTCAATAAAGCTGCATTACACTTGGAATTTTTCAGACCATATTTGGGTGATGTGAGTAAAAATCATTGAGAAAATCGTTTTCATCAGGATATCCAAGGAGAAAAGATACCAGGGCAGATGGGATGCTATGATGGGTGACTACATTTGGTGTTTGATATGCGATGACGACAAACTTCATAAAAGAAAACCTGTTCTACTGTTTACTTCTAGTGTTTTTTGCAATTTTGAGAGACTATTACATTAGAACATAATGTAACATTATGTAATATATGTATGTAATGTTATGTAACATGAAGTTTTGTAACATAACATATCATTTTTGAAATAGAAAATGTTATATAATGATTAAAGTTGTATCTCATGCAATATGATTAATATTAATTATTTGTTTAATTGAATTTTTGGTTTTTTGATCAAACGGTTGATGCAATAAAAAAAACCTCATATTCAGACTCAGCATGCTCAAATTAAATTAAAAACATCAAAAAAACTTTGATAAACAGAGAAAAAAAATTTGTTACATTGTTTTTTTTTTATTTTGTAATGGTTTTTAATTGTATTTTTAAACAGTTTTATCTTGATTTAAATATATGTCTGATGACTGCCAAAAATGACATGAAACTTTAAGTACAATCAAAAAGTTATTTTTATTTACTTATTTATTAATCTGTTATGTGATTATTTCACTTTATATTTGATCACTCTCAAATCAAAGGTTTTATATATATATATATATATATATATATATATATATATATATATATATATATATATATATATATATATATATATATATATATATATAAATATATGTTTCTAAGGAGTTTCAAGAAGCAACTCAACAAATCAATGAAAAGCTCAAAGAGTATAAAAGTATAAATGCTTCGCTGAGTGATTACTCACCTTGGCTGTCCAGTTTCCAACCAGATTCTTTTCTAGATCGACTTGAAATACCTGGTAAGTAAGGCAAAAGTATTTTTTTCAGTCACACATATTTTTCATTTAGTTTCTGCTTTGATGCAATTCTTGTTTTTTCTTAGGTCAATATACAGGTGAAAGCAAACCAATAGTTGAGTACCATGTAAAAATAAATGGGTTTGATGAAAAAGTGAGAAATTAAGTACATAAATTAAAAAAATTAAAAACTTTTACAACCTATTTTTCAACTTTTAATTTTTTTTTTCACACAGTTCTCACTTCTTTATAATCTTTAATAATTGTTTAGTAAATTAATTTCAAGTTATTTTGCTTATTAAAATACAACTCTAGTTATTTATTATAATACAAAAAAAGTACTTAAAAAAATTACTTAAAAAAAATCCATTTAGGTTTTAGTTATGAATTCCTTACGCAAACCAAAAAAGATAACAATTAGAGGTGATGATGAAAAAGATTATTACTTTCTTGTTAAAGAAGGAGAAGACTTACGACAAGATCAGCGTGTTCAACAAGTAAAGTTTTTATTTTTTAAAGTTTTTATTATTTTTTTAATTTTTTAAAGTTTTATTTTTTTTTTTTTTCAAAGTTTTATTTTTTTTTTATTTTTTAAAGTTTTATTTTTTTCATATGTTTGATCTTGATTAATTTTTGATCTGTCATTGATTTTCTATTTCATTGTTTATTTTTTTTATATCTTAGTCTGACAATTTTTTTTTTTACTTTATAATTTTTTTTACAAAACAACTGTACGAACCTTTGCACTACTTTATTTGCATCAGCATTTTATTTTTTTAATTATTTTGAATAATAATTATGTCTATTTAAATTTCCGTTTTTTGTAAATTTTTTAAAGGTATTTGTATTTTTTTTAATACCAATAATTTTTTTAAAGGTTTTTGTATTGATGAACAAAATACTTCAAAATGATTCTGTTTGCTGTAATCGTCTGCTAAAACTTAAAACTTATCAAGTTGTTCCTATAACATCACGGTATTCTTTATTTATGACAATACGCAGTCATTGTTTTGGTTTAATTATTTATTTTTTTTAAATATATGTATGTTCATATGATCATGTGTGGTTATGTTGTCCAGACCTGCTCAATATAATTATTTAAAAAAAAAAATTACTCCTATATAACTTTAATTTTTTTCAATTATTTTTGCAGCTAGCTATTATATTTTTTAAATTCTTTTTACATTTTATACTTTTATATTTTATACTTTTATGTTTTTATACTTTTTAACATCTTTTTATACTTTATCGGCACTATTTTATTTATATTTTATGCTTTATAAGCACCATATTTTTTTGAGACAAGTTTTTATGCTTTATAAGCACCATATTTTTTTGAGACAAGTTTTTATGCCCTATAAGCAGGGCCGTACCGAGCCAACTTTGCATTTCGGGCAAGAAAGAAAAATTGCTTATCTTCCCCCCCCCCCCCCCCCTTCCCCACTCACCCACTCCCTCCAAAAAAAATAATTAAAGTTAAAAAACGATTTTTTAATGATAACAAAATTGATCATATCAAGTATAAGTTACGATTTGTCATGAATACTGCACAAACTTCAGTTTAAATTCACTTTTCTAGCTTTTTTGGATGCAAGTTCACTAATGATGTCATCAAAATCAAGGTTGTCGACCATTTTATCTTCAATTGAAACTAAAGCCAGACTAGACAAACGTTCTTGCCGCATAGTTGATCTCATGTAGTTTTTTATAAACTTAAGTTTACTGAAACTTCTTTTAGGCGTAGCAACTGTGACTGGTATGGTAAGGAAGATGCGAATAGCAATTGCCCTGTTAGGATAAGCATCAGTCAATGAATATTTATAAATGAGCTGCAAAATGCCAATTGGGCTAGATTTTTTGATATTGTCCATCATTGCAGCAGCTTGATATTTAAAATTTGTCATTTCTGACTGAAAATCAGAAGAATCTTAATCTTTCGTGTAAATCTGAGATATTTTTTTTGGCTTTTGTCTTAAGTTTATCCACTCAATATTTAGATAGTTAACCTCCACAGAGGAAGTCAAAATCGGAGGATACAGCAGACATAGACTCAAACCGCCATTCAATTTGTGTAATAATGCTATCAAACACAAGATTGCACTGTGATTCGAATTCTGTTTCTGCTGTGAGGAGGTGAAAGTCGTCTTCAGCTTCATAAAGTGCCATCCTCTTAACTTTGCCCTTCCTTTTGAATGGAAAATCATCTTCAATTTCATTCTGTTTCGCTGTTTCTGTGGCATCTTTGATAATTACACACCAACATCTCTCAAGTTCTGAATTGAAGCCTTCAATCATTTCATTTTTTTTGCTGCGATATCAAACATTTTTATGCTAAAGCAATTTGTTTTCCCGGTCAATTAATGAAAGAATTTGACACTAAAAATCCAACAAACACAAAAAACTGAAATCTACTGCATATATCAAAATATATCTACTGCATATATCAAAACTGAAATTTGAATGATAAGATAATTTGCACTGCATATTGTGACATCATTTGTCATGGGGTTGTGGATAATAGACTTCAAAACTTGAAGAACTTCTTTTATTTGTTTGTGCAATGGTGTGATTGCTTTTTTTTTGGCAGACCACCTTGTGTCACTGTTTTTCTTTAATGAGATGGTCAATGTTTTCATTAGTGTTTTCCATTTTAATGTAGAATTTGAAAAAAAAAGTTAAAGATGACTTGAACTTTTGCAAAAAATGTAATCATGAGTGGGGAAACCTCAGCAGCATTGACACCAACAAGATTTAAAGTGTGAGCTGCACAAGGAACAAATTTTGCTGACTCACTAAATGGATGTGAGCTAGGACGCCATTGTATTTTCCAGACATATTGGCTCCATCATTATTTCTTTGCTTTAACAGATACAATGGGTATCTGTTAAAGCAAAGAAATAATGGCGGCAGACTATCCGCGGCCCGAGGCGCCAGATAGTCTGGCGCCTCAGGCCGCTGCCTGGCTGGCCCCGCCCTTGGTATGGGCCTGGCTATAAGCACCATATTTTTTTGAGACAATTTTTTTTATTATTGATTTATAGCAATTTATCAACAAAACAGTTTGTTGTAATTTAACTAGGTTAAAATTGTACACGACTAAAATGTTCATATTTTATAAAGCCTCAATTTTCAATTGTGTGTGACTCTTCATTTTATAATATACACTTTACAATATTTTAAGTGTGGATTGTGCAATGTGCATTATACAATTAAGAGTCATACACAATCAAAGCATTTAATTTTAAAGTTAAAGGTAAATTATAAATAAGTACATTGTAGTGACTGTAGTCAGTGTAGGAATATCACTTAGATTTAAAATGACAAAAAAAAGCCATTGACTAGCATAAACAAACTATCATTAAAAGGTCTAATGACAACCCCTGGTAATTCATCAGGTAACCCGAATCTGGATTGCAACCCACAGTTTGGGAACTTACGGTTTTCCAAATTGTTCAAACAATTCATAAACAAAAAATGATAATCAAACAAAACAAGAAATATAGAAGCATGGTCTATTTACTATAATATATATCATTTTTAATAAATGGTTATTTAAAAATATTTATTTAAAAAAAAATTATTTAAAAAAAAAGTCTAAGGTAAAAACAATGAAATAAAAGTATGAATAAAAAAAAGACAAAAACTAAACAGATAAATATAATTAAAAAATAAAGAGTTAAATATCAGGACATTTTCTATTAAAAATAGTTTTGTTTTTATTTAAACAAAACAATTAACATTAAAAGTTTGGTTTATATTTAAATATTTTTATAAAATAAGTTCAGAGGGTTTAAAATTGAATTTAAAAGACTAATTGTTTTTAAAGACTTGATTATTATTTCATTCATTATTTAAATGTAAATGGTGATTAAAACTTGAACATAGTTTTTAATCTAATTTACAGATCAAAATGATTAAATTTGGTATAATTGAAATTCATAATAATTGATTAAAAAAAGACAGATAAGAAAGAGATAATAAAATAATAGAAAAAAATTATAATAATTATTAACTAGTCACCAGAATATGTTAATGTTGTAAAACAGGTTTTTGTTGAATATGACTAATTTTAAACTTACCTTAAAACTTAATTTCAGACTATCATCTTCTGCTTTCATATAAAATACATATAAAAAACTTAAATGTAGAGTTTTTCTGTGAACATTTTATGTTAACATTTACTACATGTAAATATTGTTTGCTATCTTAATGATATCTAGCAACAACAACAAACAGGATTGGCAATAACAACAAACTTGGTTTCCAGCAACAGCAGGCTAGATTAACAACAAACTGGATATGTTTTGACAATTACTTGGATTGCCAGTAACAACAAACTAAATTTCTAATAACACATAAAATTAATAAAAACTGAATGTTTAGTAAAGAAGTAACCTAGTAAATTTGTCTAGCTACCAAGGTATAATTAGGATTTAAAAGTTTTATACTTTTTTTTTTTTGAATGTTAATTATATTGGTATTGATTTATATAGGTATTATATAATACATCTTTTTTGTTTTGTTTACACATTGCATAGTGTCAAATAAATCATGATATTTATGCAGAAAATATTTAAATGTGAATGTTTTTAAAAAGAGTATTACATTTGTGTAAACTTTACTATAATACCATGTTTATCTATTTTAAAAAGAAATTTTTTAAAAATTAAAAATGTTAGTCAATTTCGAAAGTAAGGATTTTTTATCAATTTTTAAAGTTAAATAATTTTTTTATTAATTTTAAAAAAGAAACTATTATAAGATTTTTTAACATGCAATAGAAAGCACAAGGTTTAAAGATAAACACTTACTCTATTAAGTATTTGACCTTGACCTTTATTGATTGTGCTATTATTTAATATGCTAATCTAACAGGATGGCGGAAGGTAGTATTTTAAAATAAATAGTAAACTGGAGTTTAAAACAGCTGAACTTATGCAATAAATACTCTGTTACATACAGGAGCTCTTGACAATATTTCTGCATCAATATAACAATGTAATAATAGAATAGTAGTCTACTAGTAGTCTGGAACTTATTTGACTCACAATCAAAAGGTTTTAAAGATGATTCTCACCTCAAGGTTTGTTGTTATCAACTGCTTGAAATAAAACATCCCTGATCAAAATCTTTATGGAGTAGCATTAGGTGTGTACACAAAAATAATTTTAAATATATCTAATGCATATATCAATATATATTTTCCCACTTCTTTTGCTGACTTAAAACCTTAAAACCTTTTTTGGAAAAAGAAGAAAAAAATCGTATGTATGTATGTATGTATGTATGTATGTATGTATGTATGTATGTATGTATGTATGTATGTATGTATTTATGAATGTATGTATGAATGTATGTATGTATGTGTGTATGTATGTATGTATGTATGTGTGGATGTATGTCTATGTATCTATGTATTTGTGTATGTATTTATCTATGTTTGTATGTATGTATGTATGCATGTATGTATGTATGTATGTATGTATGTATGTATGTATGTATGTATATTTATGACATTATATTTTACATTACATCCTATATAATACAGTTCTTATTAATTAAACTTACATTTTATTATAAATAATATTGTTATGTTCTTTTAATGAAACTTTATAAATTCTATTATTATTCTTAATAAGAAAACTTTAACACAGTTTTACTGTTGATAATAAGTTAAAAAAGGAAAGGTTTAAAATAAGAAAAGGTTTTTTTAAAATAAGAAAAGGTTAAAATAAGAAAAGGTTTTAAATAATTTTTATTACAGTCATTAAATTTACATAAGTGTTAAGTTTAACAATAGAAATCATTAAAATTCAAGCAAAATAATCAAAATCAATTTAATAATGAAATACTTCATTATTAATTTGATTAATTTTATTAAATTAATTGATTGTTTTTAAATTAATTTTTAATATTTAGCACACATTTCAAAATCATGTATACATTTCTATATTGTTTCAATTTTATGCATTCTAAGCCTTCTAAATTAACAAAAAAATTTTTTTACATCAATAATAACTTTTTTTTCAAGTTTTTTTAAATAAGTTTAATTTTATGTGTTGTTATTTATATGTTAGTTTGGGAATGATTGAGTGGGTTAGCAACACTATTCCATATTTTGATTTTCTATACAATGATGATGAAAAGAAAGTTCTTCATGGACCAAGGTATATATTTACTAAATCTTTATTAATGAGTAATAAGGTATAAACTAAATATTTTTTTTATTAATTATATATTTTATTAATTTCAACGATGTATTTAATTTATATAACTTTTATTTTTGTTTTTTGTTTCAAATCCATTCTTATTTAAATTCTTTTCTTATACAATCCATAAATTAAACTACAACAGATTTATTTTTAAATATAACAATTAAAAACTAAATTTTGATAAAATTTTGTGTGTTATAACCAGCTCAAACCACTACATGACCTTACCACAACCTTAACCCCAACTCCATTAATCTTATCAGTTCAAATAATTGAGTTAAATTTTGGTTTTCGAAGCTTAAAGATTAATAATCAAAATATTAAAATTGTATTGAAATCGAGCTTCTAATAAAATACTTAGAGCCAAGACCTAGATTTATTAGAATAATCTCAGACTTTTTTTTTTTTTAACACCTTCGCTTCCAACAAGGCTGCAAGCAACCACTAATTAGTGTTGGAAGTTATTGGAAGAGAAAAGATAAAGATTGTAGAGCAAGATAACGAATGACAGACGACTTAAAAAATTGTAAATTATATGAATCAGGAAAGCAAAATGAAGGAAGCGAATTTCAAAGAACTGATGTTCTTTGGAATTCGGAAAAAAACTAGACGAATAAGAGTTTTTGGAGCACTTAGGAACAGTAACAGAAAAAGGATGAGACTTAATTGAATGACGAGTAACACGAGAATGAATTTTAGTAAATGGCACGAGACGCTAGCTCTTTAGAGCAGTGCCCATTATAGTAATTGTAGAAAAGAGAAAGAGAAGCAACATTACGACGATGTGACAGAGGTTGAAGGTTGGCTGCAAGAGCAGGTTTTACTATGTTTACAATGCATTTTTGCACCTTGTCTAAAAGAAAAAGAGCATCATTAGAAGATCTGCCCCAGATATGGCAACAGTATTCCATACAAGGTCGGATTTGAGATTTATAGAGATAGAGAATAGAATCCAGAGTAAGAAAGAGTTGAGCTCGATAAAGAGATGCAACTTTAGCAGATGCTAATTTTGCAACGGATTTGATGTAAGGTTTCTAAGAAAGATCAGAAGTGAGAGTTAATCCTAGAAGATGAACGGTAGATAACTCATCGAGTACATTACCGTTCATAAATATAGGAAGGTCTAAATTATTGCGATAACGATTGGCTGAAAAAAATTGAGTTTTATCTGAATTAAAGTTCACCAGGCACTGTGAGCCCCATGCTGTAGCAGAAGTGAGATCCTTTTCAAGCTCAAATGCCCCCTGCAAGCAATCAGAGGGAGTTGGCTTCTTATCGTGACAAGAATAAATGGTAGTATCATCAGCGAACAATGCCACCTTAGATGTGAGAATATCTGGAAGATCGTTAATTTGTTTATTAATAACTATATAGAATATAATAAAGTATTATATAAAGTAATAATTTATTAAATTATGATATTGTAACACATATTAAAAGTTTGTTCAAGTATAACTGTATAAGTGAAATGCTAAAATGTACTGAAAATAATGTCCAAGACAAAATTCTAGTAATAGTATCAGATAAAATACCTGCATAAATCCGATTAAAGATTCTATGGCTATCCTATCTTAAAAATCTTTTCCAAGACCGCATATCAAATTTCAAAAAAATAATATTGTACTGCTTGTTGTACAAATCAACAAAAAGTTTAATAGTACATTGTTGATGAAAATGCAAGGTTGAAGTTTGGGTCCGTCAAAGTGGATTCTATGTAAGGAAAAAGTGGAGCAATTGCAAAGGTTTTTGCTGGGTAGCAAAAACTTACAAACTTCTACCTGGTTTAGCAAGAGAAGGTTTGCAAAAGATATCACATATTTCCTGTTTGCAATAAGATTTAAAGAGATGCTGGTTGAGTGTTGAGATATAAATGGTCATGTTAGTGCAACCATAATTAATTTTGAAGGAGTAAGTAGAAAGAAGTTTTAGTCTAAAAAGTATTGATTGAGAAATGTTATAATATTCAGATGTTATTGGATCGACATTTTTTAATACATAATTTGCAATGAGTATGAGTCAGGTAGCTTTAGAACACAAATGGATTATTGCTAAATTAGAAATCAAGATGAAAAATGCGTATGGAATATAAGAGTGATAATTTTGGCAGAAAGTCGTGAAAAAAAAAAATGAATTTGGAAATTGAAAGATGAAACACATAACCATTTTGAGAAAAGAACTTAAGCAAGAGCAAAAATTTGGTCAGTAGGAAAATGTGGAAAGAAAAAAACAAGAAAAACTTTCTAGATAAAAGTAATCTGATAAAATATGCAGAAAAATAAAGATGAATAAATTGCAGAATGAATTGCAGAATGAATTGCAGAATGAATTGCAGAAGTTATTATGTGGATTGTTTAGAAACAGAGTTGTAGCTCACTCTATTGTTTGTAGCAATGAGTTTACAAAAGATGATGTTGATCTATACATGGTATATATACCTAATATTATTATTTTTGTATTTGGTAATGTATTTTTAAAAAAAATCAAATAGAGGCTTAAATAAATAATTGTGAAAAGATTGTATTGTTAGGTTTTGTTATTGTTCAGATACAATTGAATCAATCATCTCCATATTTAGCAGAAAGAAACTTCTTGAACAAGTTATACATGCATTCAGAGTGTATGGTAGTGAAACAAGGTTGATGTTATCTAGCATCTAGAAAAAACAAAGATGGTTGTGATCAAGTCCAAGCATTGTGTGACTTAAAGACAAGAAAAGAAACATTGATCTTAGACAAAGATTAGTAACTGCCAGATAAAGATGGCCACGTAATGTGCTTTGCACATGTAGAGCATAAAGATGCAGATAATTGGGTATCAACATATAGAGATTATATACAGTTTCATTGCAAAAATATAAATATAGAAGTAGAAAGAACGTTCATTACAAATAAAATGAAAAGCTACAGTTAAAAAAAGAAGAATTTAATTTAGAAAAATAGCTTTACAAGAAATGTCCAACCCTTGAAACAACATCTCTAAAACAATGATAAAGACAATAATTAAAAAATGTTTTTAATTTGCTTTTTTATTTAGGATTTCATTTTTGATATAATGATCTGTGATTATTGGCTTTATTACATGTTTTTAGTCAACTAACTTTGAAATAGTTGCACTGTGTTTTCATTAATGTTTTCTTTCTTTTAAAAGCAGTAAAAGGCAAAGCAAAGTAAAATATAAAAATCTAAAATAATTTAAAAAAATATCTATATAAGTAGTACAAAAAATAAACTTTAAAAAAATATTAGACAATTCTTACAATTCTTACGATCATTCTTACAATTGATTTAATTGAAATAATTTTTTTAACTATAGTGGTCCTATAAAAAAGTATAAGCAATTTTATGGCAAGTTTGAAAATGTATCAAATGTATATAAATCAGCTAACCGTAGTGAAACTGTCAAAGTATTTGAAGACTGTGTTTCAACTGTTCCTTGGGATTCCTTAAGGTATTTATTGAAAATAAGACTTAAAATAATTTGCAAATAATTTATTTTAAACTATATTAAAATTATAATGATTACAATTTTTAGACGTGCATTTGAAAAGCTAGCATTATCTTCTGAAGCTTACTTTGTACTTCGGAAAAATTTTATACAGTCACATTCTTGTCTATGCATAGCTCATTACATATTAGGCATTGGTGATAGACATCTCAATAATATGCTTATTGATAACAAAACCGGTGGCGTTGTTGGTATTGACTTTGGTTATGCATTTGGTATAGCAACTCAGGTAACTTTTTTTTTATTTTTACCTCCCTTCATATTACCTGCATAAAATGTAACAAAAATATTTAACTCTTACTCACCTCTCTAATGAGTTTAAAGGTTACCAATTTAAATCATACTCACCTCTTGTAAGGGTGTAAAGGGTGTGGACTTCAATCATACTCACCTATCATAAGGGTGTAAAGAGTGTGGGTTTAAATCATACTTACCTATCATAAGGGTGTAAAGAATGTGTGTTTAAATCATACTCACCTCTCATAAGGGTGTAAAGGATTTTGTAAATGTAAACTGTAGAAGAAGTGTTTAAAATATTTATATATATTTTTTTTTTTGCTTCGATAACTTTAAAGAAAAAATTTCTTTAAATAGAGCTGTATTACAAAAATATGTTTTGGAAAGATAAAAAAAATCCTTATTCATATTTATTTATATTTATACTTAAATTCATTGAATATTATTCAAAGAATAATAGTGTTCTATTATCAAATCATTATCTGTGTTAAATTTATTTTTATAAAATTATAAAATAATTTTCAAACACATTTAAAAAAATCAATCAATAGTTCAATATCCTATTATTATAAAACTTAAATATTATCAATAAAACAAAAAGTTTTATTGATAATTGAAAAAATGGTCCAAATTCTTGTTCACTGATAAATCAAAGTTTGAAATTTTCAGAGATTTTCCATAATATGTTTGTTGCTTAATCTTTGAATGAATGATAAAATGAATGATAAAAAATGTATGGTTGGTTCCAACAGTCAAGTATGATGGAGGTTCAGTCATGGTCTGTGAATGCATTGCTTAAAATAAAGTTAGTGAAATTATGTGAGTTATGGGCTTTGTGGATAAAATAATATGCTAAAAAGATCTCCGGCAACATTTATTTTTCTATAGTAAAAGAGTTATAGATTGCAGATTAGTTTTTCAAAAGGATAGCGTTCACAGTTTTAAATTCTTCCAAAATCATGGAATGATCTCCTTTTTTGTTTGGTTGATCAAACCTGATCAATATGTTGTAGCAAGAGTTAGTATTAAAAGGAAAATGCAACAAACCAAATCGAAATGCAACCGATCAAAAATGCCTTTAGGGATTCTTATCAACATGTTAAAATCAAATCTTAACTGTATTATTGGAGGAAATGATTGAAAGAATGCACAAAGTATCTGCTGTTGTTAAAAAAGAATTCTTGAAAAAATCAAAAGTAGCATAATCAATAACTGTTTACAAACTTTTTTAGCACTACTGCAGTTGTCCCTCCTTTAATGATGTATGCATGTTTAATTATCCGTATGTGTCATTTAATTTATGTAGATTTATTTATGTCATTCTCGAAGTCAGTTGCATTTCATTAGAACATTTAAAATCATCCAAATAACTTTGTCATAAAAATAAAGTATTTTTTTATTTTGTTTCAATATAATTTAAATCTTGTTTAATAAATTTTGTAAATAAATTTTAAAGATTGCACAATTAAAAAAAAATATTTTTTCTAAATTGATTGTATCTTCAAGTACATTTGATGATGAATATTAGTGTTTTTATTTAAAAATTAGTGTGCTTTTTAAAACTTTAGCATAGTACTTTCTAAAAAAATAATTTCTATAAATCAGGATAAAAGTTCTCTGACGGGGAGGGGGAGTGGGATAGATAAAAAAGGTAAATGCAATTATATAAAAAAAAATATTTAAAAATATTAAATTTATTTTTAAATATTAAATTTATTAAAATATTAAAAAATTTAAAGGTCATGAAAGTTAAAATGAATATGCTTTTCATTAAATCACAAAACTGTTTTTTTGTGTAACAAAACAATACAAACTTAAGAGCTTTTTTTTATGTAGATATATTGTAAACAATCTTTTTATTTTTTTTTAGCTTCTAAAGTATCCAGAATTAGTTCCATTTCGTTTAACACAGCAAATGTTGAACCTCTTACTTCCTCTGAAAGATGTATCGCCTTATAAACAATCTATGATAGTGGTGTTGCAAGCACTGCAACAACATTCAAAGATGTTGATCAGCACCATGGATATTTTTATTAATGAACCACTGATTGATTGGCAGGTATTTTTTTTTTAATTTTTCTGAGAATTATTTTAATTTTTTTTTTCCTAATACAACGCTTGGTGAACTTATTAACTTCTTAAGAAAACAATTTTAAAACTTTAACAGTTATTGCATATTTTATGCGATGGAAAGTTTTGATAAATAAAAGATTTATTTATGAGCCTGAGCAAAATGTATCCAGAAACAGGGAGCTGCAGGGAGGAGAGGGTACCTAATTTTTGAACTAGATCTTACTCCAAGGTGTCTAGATTCTTTTTTTTTTTTATTACTAACGTATGAAAATTTATTTCTTTATTTTAATAAGCATAATTAGTTGTTTTTTTTGTGTAGAAAAATTTTCAATTAAAAGTTTTTAATTTAGTTAACAATCTTAAAAATAAAATTACAGTAAACTTTATTTTTAATTTTGTAATAAAATTACAAAATTAAAAATAAAGTTTACAGTTAATGTAATCATATATTAACTAATAATTATAATGATTATTATATTGATAACTAATGCATATTTTATTTATGTGTGCCTAAATATAATATAAAAAACATTTATAAATGTTACTTATTTATATTTTTTTTATTAGAATAATGCTAAGAAATACGAATCATTGGCTTTGTTAAAAGAAAGCTCTCCTGGTACTAGCTTTTGTTTTTAATTATATATTTGTATGCTCTTTTATTTTTACTAATTTTTACAATCAAAAAATTATCTTTAAATAAAAATTAAGTTGAAAGTTTTTATTTAGGAATAAAAATGAATATGTTTATAGATAACTAAACACTGTTCAAACTATATATATATATATATATATATATATATATATATATATATATATATATATATATATATATATATATATATATATATATATATATATATATATATATATATATATATATATATATATATATATATATATATATATATATATATATATATATATATTTATGCAAATGTGAAATGTACATGTATGGAACTGTATAAAAGAGTGGAAGGGACAAAAAGTCGAGTATTAATAAGCAATTCTATACTAAAATAGTAGCAATAATGTACTGCAAAATGTATGTACTGCAAGTACAGTGTGGCAGTAATGTACTACAAAAACGTTTAGTTCTGTACTGAAATACTGTGCAATATTCTGCTGCCATGCAAAACAATAATTGTTTAGAATAATAAAAACCTTTTTTCCTATTTTTTGTCTAAAATATACATAGTTTAATCGGACTATCATCTACTGTTTATCAACTATTTTATCTTGTTTATTCTGTGCTTATATTACTCATAATGTTCAACTCATAGTTTATCATCTGTTATGATAAATGCAATTTCATTTGCTTTTATAGTATATTGACCTAAGGTGATACAAACCTATCACTTTTAAACAATTCGGCTAATTTACGCAGATTAATTCCGATCATACAAAAAATATATATATTCTGTAAATTTTGCTTTTTTTCCTTACCTATCTGTTAATAACAGCAAAGTAGAAAAAGAATATGTCAGTTTTGCAATAACTACATTGAAATACTAAATACTTCACTCTTTAAAAGTATTTTAAATCAAATAAGGCCATAACACATTCTTAGTAAATCAGGCCATAACACATTTTTAGTACACTTTCAACTTCATTTTATTTCTCACTACAGTACTTAAAAATTTTTGTGAATTGTTTTTGTTTTTTTGTGAAACAAAAAAAAAAAAATAGACAAATCTGAAACAAGTTTTTATTTTAATTTTAATTTAAGTCAACAGTACAACAAAAATTATAAAAGCAAGTCACTTTTTTTTTACTCAACGTAAAAAAAAGTTGGAAATGTTGAATTAAAAAAAAAAAAAGAAAGTGAAAAACCACGTTTAAAACAAACTCTTAAAGTTGTAAAAGCTGTCAAGTCCTGGCTGACCAGGACCCAAGTACAATCAATGCAGCATATAGCTATTTTTTGTGAAACCAGTTTTAAATCATGTGACCATTCTTTTATTTGCTTCTATTTAGATCATTTAATCAAATTTATCTTTGTTCTTTATAGTTCTCTATCTCTCATTTTTACATTACATTTTTTACATTACATTTTTACCAAATCTCAGATGTTAGGTTCTAGAGACTTTTGGGAAATCTTTAACATTGTAATTAACTAAGGCAAGTTAACTAAAGCAAACTCCTTTTAATTTAATTTAAATAAATAACTAAGCTTAACTCCATCTCTAATACATGATCCTGATCTTAACTATTTACAAAGAATCTTTTCTCTTTTTTGATAAAGTTATCTACTGTCGTAGATAATTTTATCTTTTGAATCTAATGGCCACACTAATTGACCTATTCCTCTTGATTACCTGTCATCCTACAGAAACAGGTTAATCTTTTGTTAGAACTCAAAACTGCTCTGGCTTCGGTTGCTGAGGTTATTTTCTCTTAGTCTTTTTTACTACTTGTAGTTCAAAAAACGTTTCTACCATAGTCTTACAAAGGTTTTCTTCAAAGGTGTTCTTCAAAACTCTCTTCAGTACTTTTTATTAGGCTATTTAAATAAGTACTCATATAAATTCACTTTATTATCAGTACATTCTCTGTTCCACTGTCGTAATTTTGCATTTTTTTTTTTTACAAATACTTTCCTGGTCACAGCTTAATAAGCTACTATGTCTTGTTCCATTAATCAAAACTCAATTTCGTGCAACTTGTTACTCAACATCATCCTTTGACTATACCTGTCCCATTTTTTTTAATCTGATCAATTTTCAATTTTAAAATTCTTTATACAACCATTTTTTTGATTTTTTTGACGATAAATTTCATCAAATCATTTATAAAAATACTAGCTGAAAGAAATCAGAAAATTATGTTTATAAAAAATAGGCAAAAAATTAAACAACTATGACTGAAGAAACATTTGTTTTTTATAATTTAAATTTAAAAAGTTTTTATTTATGGTAATAATATTTTGATTTATATTCAGGTAGTTTTTACGTTGTTATTGTTTTTATTTTTGTTAACTTTTTTGGTAATAATAGACTGGTATCCAAAACAGAAGATAAATATTTGTAAGCAGAAACTCAACGGTGTAAATCCTGCATTTATAACAAGGTATGAATCAATTTTCGCATCCAGGGTTACCAGGTTTGGAAATCATAAAGTAAACTTTTTCTTTTTCAAGCATTGTTTTAGTTATTGTTTTTTTTTCCAGCTCCAAACAAAATTTGCATTTTGTCACAAAATAAAACTTAGATTTGTTCCGTTTTTTTTATTTTTACTATTTTCAATTATTGGAATTTACTTCCAATCATTGAAAATCCACTTTAAAGTGACCTGTTTTTAATTACCATCAACTTTTCACTGTTTTTTGTATAAAAAAGAATTTTTTTCGAATTAATGTGTAAGTTATTGTTATTTCTTTTTTCTTTAAAGCAACAAAAACAGTTCCCGTTGCTATTGTTTTTAAAGAACCTCTTCTCTATATGAGAAATATCGGTTGTTTGATTACGGCCCCACTGTTTTCAAAAAGAGACTACCTATTAAACGTGCAATCTTTGATAATTTAGAGCTTTTCATAAGGCACATTGTTTGACTCTATTTTAATTACTAATCACTAATCGCATAAGTTACTCATTTACCAAATAGAATAAATAAAAAACATGCAAAAACAATGTTCAACTTTTATAATAAATGACTTAATGAACTTTTGACATATTAAAATTACAGCAAAAGCTATAAACTAATGAATTTGAGAAATAGCAAAGGTATAAGTCAATTCAACTTGTTTCTCCGTGTAGCGGCTTTGTTTTTAAAGTTTTGTGTTTCTAAATCAAATGGTTAAGAAAAGGATGTAATAACATTTAAACATTTGTAATAACATTTAAAATAATGATCATGAGCATTCTCTTTGACTGTAAACCAATCAAAAAATTTTCTGTTCTCATTGCAATCAAGAAATTTTCTGTCATCATTGCAATCAAGAAATTTTCTGTTTTTTAGTAAGTCACTATTTTTTTTAATTTCATGCGTTTTAACTTTATTTAATGTTTACTATGTTGTATTGTTGTTTTTAGTGAAGAACTTCGAAATTCTTTTTTACATACACGAGACCAACTGTTGTTGGAATCTTATATCAGCATCGTTGAAGGGTCCTCTCAACACAATATACGTAAGAAATTATTAGATCGAACTAATAATCCAGAAAAAGAATTTTTAACAGTCGAAGAGCAAATTGATTGTTTAGTAGATCAAGCAACAGATCCTAATTTGCTTGGTCGTGCATGGATTGGATGGTTTCCGTGGATTTAAAAACAATTCATAATAATAATTTACATTTGATTAAAAAAAAAATAAAAAACAAGTAAATTTTTTTCATTGTAAATATATTTTAGTAATATACAACGAACTGTTCTATAATTTTAGTTAAGCTTTTAGTAATATTGCAGCTGTTAGCAGTTTTATTAGTAATATAAATTGAATTGCAATTAATCCAATTAATTTTTCGTAATATAAAATGCATCCAATAAAATGCAGCCAATCAAACTGATATAAAATGCATTTGAAGCCAATTCTTTTAATCAATTCAATCCAATCAATCAATCCAATGAACAGCCAATAAAACTAAAATAAACTGCATTTGATGCCAATCCTACTAATAGAAGGGGAGAGTGGGCCACCATAATACATTTTTAATTTTTGCTTTGTAACAATTTTTTTAATACGTTTTTATTTTAGACGATTGGTTTAATTTATAGGATAAATTTATAAATTAACAAAATATAACAAGTTAAACTTGTAAGACTATTTTGAGTAAAAATATAATTTTTTATCCAGAGTATCTTATTACTAAGTCATTAAAAATAAAAAATATAAAACTTAAAAAAAAAATCTTGGTATTTATAATTCAAATAATGCACCAATGGTCCAAATCATATTTCAGTAAACCAGTTAATAAATCGTTTTAAATGTCATTTTTAAGCATCAATAAATAATAGCTTTGAATGGAAATTGGATTTCCTAATATTCTATTTACTTAAATCTTTTAGAAATCGACTGTAAATATTAAAATAAATAATGTTTAGGATTGTTTATGACACAATGCATTGTGTTTTAAGATATATTTAGTTGTTTGCAGTTTTAGGGTTGTTTGCAGTTTTAGTTGTGGTATTAGTTTTAATTGTGTTAGTAGTTTTAGTTGTGGTATTAGTAGTTGTTTTTAGTTTTAGTTTGCAGTTTTAGGGCGGTAGTTTGTAGTTTAGTTAGTGGTTTTAGTTGTGGTGATTGTTTTTAGTTTTAGTTTCAATTTTAGGGTTTTTAGGGCCTGAAACTGTAACGTAGTACTCCATTAATGGATTACTGCATTGCAGTTTTAGGGCCCCCGCAGGCCTAATGATGGCAAATGATATAATTTTTTTGTAGTAAAAAAAAAAAAAATTTTAATTAATAATTTTTTTTTAAAAAAACATAGCTGTACTAGTAACTGCTTCAGCATATAAAAGTGATTGTCACCAGTGACGGATACAGGAATCTTGGGTGGGGGTTTCTTGGATGTTGAAATGTTTTTGTATTTTGTACCATATTTTTGTTTCCTTAAAAAAAAGGCCCCGTTATTTTTATACTATTTTTAGGACTTACAATGTTTCATAATGCCCCCCAGTCTCTTCTAGTATAAAACGCATTGCAGCAAATTAGAATATTAGTAATATAAAATGCATGGATATTTTCCTATGGAAATTTCATGGGATTTCAATTTCTATGGGAAACCATGTTTCACTCACAGTAGGGAGTTTAGACAACTTTTTTAGCAACTGTAAATATATTTTTTATTTTAATTACATTTGATTCCTTAATAAATTTCATTTCCAAAAAGGTTTCAACCACTTCTGTAGCTTATTTAGTTCCAAAGATATAAGTATTTTAACATTTTCAGTTCATAGACTTTTTTGGAAATATTTTCTTAAAGTATATCGTTAAATTTTTGGCACCGAAAAAAAAACTTTTTTATAGTTTTTTTTTTTCTTGCGCGTTAAAAAACTTTTAATAAAATTTTATTTGAATTTTAATAACAATTTATAAATATAAATTTTTTGCGCGTTAACCAACTTCCAAAAAAAAAATTATTAGAAAATTAATAACAATTTATAAATACAATTTTTTTTAACAGTGAAATATGTTTAAACTTTTTTTAACATAACTTAAATTTTTAAATGTTTCAATTTAACGTTTAGCGTAACAAAATTTTGAACGTAATAAAACTTTGAAAAATATTAATTTAAATGACCTTTTATATAAACTTTCTTAAGGTCCCCACCAATTTAGAAATCTTTTTTAGAAAAAATCAATTATTTAATAAAATATTTACGATATATATATATATATATATATATATATATGCATATATATATATATATATATATATATATATATATATATATATATATATATATATATATATATATATATCCCAGTAAGCACAAGACGCATTTTAGACACTTATAGACGTCTAAAACTAGTCTAGGTAAAGACGCACTTTTATAGACGTTTTGAAGACATCTTTTAGACGTCTTTTATGAATGCGTTTTTAAAATAACGTTTAAAAGGCGTCTTTTTAAAAGATAAAAAGACGTCTAGAAGACGTCAATTTTTAAGACATCTTTTAGACGTCTTTAATAAATGCGATTTTAAAATGACGTTTAAAATGCGTCTTTTTAAAGTTTAAAAAGACGTTTAAAAGACGCATTAAAAGACGTCTAGATCAAGGCTGAAAGACGTCTTTTCTGAGACCTGTTTATAAATATGTCATTATGACTTCTTTTTGACGGCTTTGTCATTACGCGTTAAGTAGATGTCGTATATTCAAAGTAAAAACATAGTTTTTATTATTTTCAATAATTTGTTTAAGTTTTAAGTGTAAATTACTTTAAATTAAATTACTTTTTTACACAATTGCTAAAATTGTTGTCACAGGAATCACTAAAATAATTGCTATAATATTAATATATCTTTTTTTTATTAATAATTATTTTGCTTTTTTAATAGATAGTTGACTGATCATGATAATAAGTGAAAATGGCAAGAATAATATATAAGTTAAATATCAGTATTTTTAGTTTTTATACACCCACAAGCCAAATAATAAGTCAAGTATGCGGTCAAAAATTAGCTAGCTAATCGTATATTAATTTTATTATAACTAAAGGTAAGTTATAAATGTTTTAAATACTGTTTTGATATATATTTGTTATTGTTATATATTATGCGTCAACCGTTTGTGGTGATTACAGCAATATTATTTTGATTGCTGGTTCCTATGTATATTTTGCATATACGAAATTATAACAATATATGATTTTAGAAATACAATGAATATATACCACATACTACGCGAAAATGTTACGTCATGTACTTAAATTCATCTTGATAAAAAACGTCTAAAATACGTCTAAAACGCGTTTTTATAAAGACGTCTTTATTTAGACGTCTTTTAGCCTTATGATCTAGACGTCTACAAGTGCGCTTTTTAGACCTCCTTAAAGACATCTTTTAAACGTCTTTTAAACGTCTTTGTGCTTACTGGGATATATATATGCATATATATATATATATATATATATATATATATATATATATATATATATATATATATATATATATATATATATATATATATATATATATATATTGATCAAATAAATATGTCAAAATGTGTGTACTTTGACCAAAATAGGTTTTTGAGGTCCTTAACAACGCCATAGCAACGGATTTTTAAACAAGTTTCAAAGATATTATTGCTTAGAAGTTTTAACTCGTTCAAACTTCTAAGCAATAATATCTTATTTCTACAGCTTTATATTTATTATGTGCTTTATAATTAGTGGAGGTTTTTAATTAAGACATGCTTCTTTTTGTAATATAACAAACCTTTTCTTTGTTTTTTTGTATTTAACTCAAAACTTTTAGATTGGGACCATATGCAAACTTGAAATTTTCATGAGTACTTTTTTTATTGTTCGACTTAGGTAATGAACCAGAGTTACAAATTAATATGATGTCAAAATATGTTTAATACGTTTTTTTCTTGCCTTTTTTGTTAAATGGTTTTATAAATCTATTATAAGTTACTTTTAAAATGTTTTATGCATATTCAATGCATGATTCTGGTTCATAAAATATCAAAAAAAACGTGGCCCCAAACAAAACAGACCAAAAAAGTTGAAATACGCACAAAATAAAGATGAATCTAAAATTTATTTTCACACAACAAGAAAAATATTAGTCAACAATTTTTAATAATTTCAGTGTAATCATAGATTCAAAAACGAAATTTAACAGCTTAGTGTCTGTTATTTAGACTCTAAGCGGTTAAACTACCTTAAAAAAAGAGTAACCTACTGTTCAAAAAGTTAGAGGATAGCCGGCAGCTTTAAATGTTTCTTTAAATTTCTTTTTTATTATAATTTTAAAAAACTATATATATATATATTAATATATATATATATATATATATATATATATATATATATATATATATATATATATATATATATATATATATATATAGCCATCAAACAATTTTATAAAAAATTTGCCTTGGCTATCCCGTTCATAAATTAGACAAAATTGTCTAACTTATTTAACGAAGTGCACCAACAAGAAGGTAAGCCATAGGACTTTGCACTCCATCAGTGAGCTGTCATTTTGTCTAAGGTCAGCCCTCCATTTTTAGATTCTTTCCTTCATTTGATAGGCAGTTCATGTATAAGTAATATTAACTCAGCCTAAGGTTAGCGCTCCATTTCTTGATTCTTTACTTTACTTAATAGGCATTTCATGTAAAGATTTTTTCTTTGTTATTTTAATTTTAATATTCATAATAATGTGCAATTAAGCATAGAGATAAAAATGTTAATTTATATTATAAAAATATCTTTAAATTAAACAAAATTGGTACATATAAAAATATCAGACTCATACCATTTATAAAGATAAAAACCACTGTATAATAAAAGAATTAAGATAAATACATACTACAACATAATTCTAAATTTTTAATAAATAAAATTACCTCATAATCATAAAAAGGTAAAAAGAACAACATCACCTTTTTCAAAATCAATTGATAAAGGAAATGACCATACTTCATCAGGTTTGTTATCATACTTAACAAGATATGTGGTTCGTTAGCATTTAATTGATCAATTTGTACTACTTGTGCACGTTCTCAAAATACTTCAAGAGAATCTTTTTCTCTAACACGATGTTGTATAGAAAAACCTACAAAATCAGATGGATTGTTAATAAATATTGATAGGGAATATTTTTTTTGGTGCTCTGTTAATTTTTTTAGTTTTGCATCCTGAATTTTTTCCATTAATTTTTTTTTTTTTTGCTTTCAACAGCTG